CACACACACACACACACACACACACACACACACACACACACACACACACACACACACACACACACACACACCAGGGGTGTAAAAAAATGTATATACATTTTAAGAGATGTTATCTTAAAATCTGTATATATTTTTTGGGCACCCTGTGTGTGTGCGTGAGTGTGTGTGTGTATGAAATATTCCTTTGAATTTATGCCTTTTTCCATAACGGAATGATGTGCTTTATGTGATATGTGGTAAAAGCATTGCCTGGCTAAGCAAATACCACTTTATGATTCCAAGCAAGTCAGTAAAACTTTCTGTGCCTCAATTTCTTCAGCTGCAAAATGCGCATGATACTATACTACCTACCTATTAAGATTGTTGTGAAATAAATTCATACACATACATATTCATATGTGTATCACATAGCAGAGTTTTTAGTATAGAAAATGCACTCAATAAATAGTAGCTATTATGAACATTCATAATGTCTGCTATTTGCCGGCGCCTAGTATCAGACTCTTTGGGGCACAGAAATGGGTAATGATCCCTGGTTGGGATACTATTTGGCAGGCTTGTTTTGTGCCAAACACTTACCTATTTAATTATACTTAACCCTCCCAGCAATCTTATAAAGTACTGTTATCTCCATTGTCCAGATGAAGAAACTAAAAAATTAGTTAAGAGACTTGGTCCAATTCACACAGCTAGTAATGAAAGAGGGACTAGAACTTGGGTGCTATATGACCACAAAGTCTGTCTTAATTACCTCACCCTCTGCTTCCTCTAGATGAGAAAATTCATATTCACGTATATATGGAGGATGCAGTTGGTAAACTTTTTTTTTCCCCAAAGCAGAGAACTCTAAAAATAGTGGATTTCACAATCATACAATATAACACAACACCACTAAACTGAATTCTCTATTATGTTCTTGACCTCTCAGTTTTTGTTCCCTCTTCAAGAGGGAAAGTAACAATTTGAATATAAGTAACATCCACACTGTATGTAATGGGTAACTGTTATGATTGTCATATATAAATACTTTTCTAGGTATTATAGATTGGCACTTGTTGGGAATTGAAACCTTGTTTACTTTTTGATGAGGAGAGGATTCTACTTATATAATGATAGATAGTTGGATGGGACTTAATAGGCTGATTTGATTCAAAGAAGGAAGCAATTTCTAAAATGTTCTTACCCTACCAAATTGAATAGGTGTGGTCATTCAGTAGTTTAAGACTACTGTCAAAACACCAGATCATTGTCCAACAGATACTACAGATTATGGTAAAGAGAAACAGCTGTATCTAAGAAGCTACAGTAATTACTTTTCAACTCTGAAAATAATAGCATCAAAAACTTTGAGTTCTTGTAAACAATACTGAGACAATGTAACATATCTAGAAAAGTTATTGCTAGGTTCTCCATCTTATTAAAAAAAAGGTGTTCTGGATTTTCTCTGAATACAAAATAGAGAAGGAAAAAAGGACTCTTTCTTCTATAAGGATAGTTGCCTCATAGAAATGATTTATGGACTGTCACAACTCTACTGACTCCTACTTTGAGATGGGCACTTTTATCTTTTGCTCACTTGCTCAGTTTGGAACTAAGCAAGTAATTTTGAGTAAAATGATGTAAAAAACTTGGATCCCATTACTCTCACACTGAAAACATTTGAAAACAATTGAAAAATTAATTCAGAAATAACTTTAACACAAAGTGATGCATTTTCACTTTAAAAGGAAGAAAACATTTTTCCATTCATTTTTGAGTGAATCATTTTAGAGATTATTTCACCGTGTCATTTTGCAGATGATGAAAGTGAGACCTACAGCACTGTCATTCAGTTAGTTACTTGCTACATTTTTTTTCTCACATCATTATTTCTGCCTTATGTAATGTGGCTATAAAGTCATCATAATTGTAAGTCATCATCATCTTTTTCTGCCCTATGAGTACTACAGCTTCAGGACAAGGACTAGAACAATTTTAAACAACCTCCAAAACTCATCACTTTTAAACTGTCATAACAGCTTTGCTAAACAAGTACAAAATGCATGAAAGCGAATAAAAGTATTTGTATTTCTGTTGCTTAAATAAGAGTCTTGTCTCATAACTGGTCTACATACAAGACATCTCTGGTTATGGCATAATAAAAATAAATAAAAGAGATGGGGATTTTAAAGAAAAGTTTTTGCAAATCAAGAAAAACATGTCTTTTGTGTTCTACATAGTTTCAAGTTCGTCTTGGGAGAAAGGAACGCCTTTGAAGAGCAAGGAGATGTGGGCTTGAATACATCCTCTTGAGGATTTTTTTGCAATACTAAGATTCAATGAGGATTCAGAACTCAAAAGGCGGCATTACTGATATCTGAATTTGTCAATACAGAAATAACAATAAGAATTAAATTTCTTGATATTAAGAACATGTTTCCTTATGAGAGACTTGCAGCTTTTCACACACAGGGTGGGAGACAACGGCCTATTTTAAAAGGGAAAACCAGAGCACTCAGGATAGCTGGTCAGAGGTCACTCAGCTGCCCGGCTGCCGGACCAGGATGAACGTCAGCCGCCCCCATTCACTACTCCTTCACACGCCTAAAGCAGGAATTTAGCGAAAAAACTTAAACTTCGGTTTTTAAAAAATGGGCATTATAACCAAACTTTTAAGAGTTGTACCTTTACTTCCGGAATTCTCTGATAACTCACCTCCAGGGCAAGCTTAGCCCTAGACGGGTTCCTGGCCAAGCAAGGTCCTTTGGGGGAAGGGCCAAAATACGTAAGAGGGTAGGTGGCCAGGCGCAGCCCTCTGGGAAAATCTCCCCGGCTGGCTCCCTCAGCCGACCCGGCGCACCTGCAGAGCATTCGGCCCGTCCCTCACCTGCGCCAACGCCCCCATCCACGCCTTTCCTCCCGAGGCACTTACCTGGGGCGTCCGCGGGTGCCTGGGCCCTGAAGGTGGCCGTCTCGACCCATCGCAGGGGCGACGATGGCCTACTCCAGGGTCTGGGGATCCCAGGCGGCAGGTAGGAGACGTTGGACTTCCGTCGGATCGCCACCCGCCTGAAGTTGTAGCTGCCCTCGCTGCTCGAGGTGCCGGGTTCGCTCCGGGCTCCGCGCTCTCTCTCGCCCTGATCTGGACGCAGATGCGCGCTCGGCGGGCTCCTTAGGGGCAGCCGGACACAGGGAGGTGTCGCCTGCATGGCCACGCTCGGCGCGACTCGAGAGGGGCGACTCCGGGACTGCTCCGCGCCGGCGCCCCTCTTCTCCAGGGTCTCCTTGGCAAATGTCCCTGCGTCCCTTCCTTCCAGGGCCGCGCGGAGAGTTTGGCACTCGGTCTCTTCGGCTCCCGCACTCACCTGACGCCGCTTACTGCAGCGGCCGGACCGGGATTGCCTGCACCCCCTCCTCTCTGGAGCCAATTGCTGGAGGCCCCCGGGGGCGGCACGAGGAGAGCGCAGAGTTCAGGCTGTTTGCTGCGCCACCGCCACCGCCTCCTCCTCCAGCCGAGGAAACAGCCAAGGACACTCTGTGCAGAGTGGAGCGCCCTGGGGCGCGGCCCCAGAGCCGGTTCGCCACTGGCGGCTCCGCCCAGCCGCGCCGCGCCCCGCCCCGCCGCCCCGAGCTCGCCTATTGGCCGAGAGGAACCGTGCGGCGCTCACCTGCAGCCGCACACCTAGGTGCTCCGAAGGTCAGCAGCGCTCACCTGCGGGCCACGCACAGGCTTNTCCCCTTCCCCAATTCCCCAATAAAAATCTTTAAAAACAAAACAAAAGCTAGTGTTATAAGCGTGTGACAACTGAAGCCAGAGAGACCTAGTTCCAACCCTGCCTCTGAAACTTAGGCTGGTTGTACAGCATTGAATGTAAGGCTTTCTGAAACTTGTTTTTTTTCTTCTCTAAAATGGTAATAATACCATCTATTTTGCTGGGTTGTCATAAGAACAAAATTGTAACTAAAACACATATCATCTTGATTCAGAGCCAGCATTCAATAAATAACTACTCTTATTGCTCTTACCCCAATCTCCATCCCCTACCCCCCATCAAAGGTGAAATTAATCCTCTAAAAGTGCTCAAGATATTGGAGTACTACGGTGTCGAAAGCCTGAGTATTCCAGCCATGGTGAGAACTGTAAAAAGGAACTCTACTTGTAGAAAGCTTGCACACCATAAAAGGTGAAGAGTCCTTCACCACCAAGCACCCAGATGCTCAATAAATAACAAAAGACATACTTTTAAGTGTATGGCTGAGATTATAAGAAGATAAAGAAAGTTCCTTAAGGACAAGAAAAAAATAGAAAAAGAACTTGAAACCTAAACCTAGTGGCAAAATAATTTGTAAACTCATGCTGCCCTGGGGAACCTAGGAACCTACATAGAGGCCAGGACCTGAGGGTGTTGATGGAGGACAGGCTTGACCTCGAGCTTGTGAAATGGGAAAGGACTGAATCTGAGACCCAACACCAACAATCTACACTGAAGGAGCTACACCTTGGATAAAAAAGGTTGCCTAAGAAAAATCTGCCTTCCATTAAAGCAAACTGATGAGGAAATCTGCAGAGCGACACCAAGCCCAAATTAATTAATGAAGATAATGACGCTGATCTCCCCTGCGCAAGCCTAAACTCAAATTTACACCATCTTCAAGTATGGAGATGCCTGGCTAAAGAAAGTGTTCTTGGGTTGAAAGTAAAAACAAAAAAATATTTTCTACAGAAAGGCATCTTCAATACAGACCTTTCATGATTCCCATAAAACTAAGAAATAATTAAGAAAACATGCTACCTTGTCGGAAAAGTCATGATGTATTTTTCTGTTTTTTTGGTGCAAAAATGCGTCATGACTTTCCCAACAACCCAATAGCAGAAAACATTTATAGACATTCCCCCACTCCTGAGGACTTCAGATATTCAGACTATGGAAAAGGGAAAGGCATAGAAAAAGTTGAAGCAAAAGGAAAAAAAAAAAAAAAAAGCAAGCACAAGGTAGGGCCGGCCGAGTGGTGCGATGGTTAAGAACTGGCTTGGGACGCCAGAGGGCCCGGTTCGGATCCCACATATGAGGGCCAGTGACATTGCCCTCCACAGCTAAGATGCTGAACAACAGCTCAACCTGGAGCTGGGCT